TTTGGAAATGTTATTTTAAATACAATTAAATCAAGTTATTACAAGATTATTAATTTACCCCTTTTAGAAGTGACGATATGGTCATTTGTTCTGGGAATGTCATTTTCGAGCCTGAGACCTCAAACACAGGCTTGGGGCTTAACTGGTTAATTAAAGACACCTGAGTTAAACAAGGCACGTGAAATACACAGTCAATACTGAAGGCTGAAGTTTGAGTAATTATGTTAGCNCCCATGCAAAGGTCCGGAACTTCAAAATGTCTAACTTGCTTTATGAATTAGTGTGATATATTGAAGTAGCCTGTAGCTGTATCAACGTCTGCATGTAATCAACAACTGACTGCCAATCAAATAAAGAAAGTACAATTCAAAAACGACAATATTTATTGTCAATTAACATTGAACTATAAAGATATACAGTAAAATACTGTGGATATGCAACAGTCTTCCTCACCGTCCTCCTCAGTGTTTCCTTCACTCAATACAGAAACACTGAAGTCTAGATTCTAAATCCTCATAAAATATAAGACCAGGGCTGCCTTAATGCACGGGCTGACCAGGGCTGAAGCCCAGGGGCCTACGGAGATCGGGGGCCTATCATGAGCCAATGAAAAAAAAAGAAAATATTCAAATTCAATTTTTTAAATTTATTTTATTTTAAATAAACAAAGTCTTGGCTTTCAGAATATGAAACTTTTATTTTATTATTGAAGCTTGTAAAGGGAAGAAGCTTGTAAAGGGAAGAAGACAGCTCTCCCTCGCCACTCTGCTGTTCTGCTGTTCCCCTCTCTCCGCTGAAATTATGAATGTAAGGCGTATAGCAATCATAGATAACACGGCAGGGTCCGTTACAGTTTGTTTTCATCTGGTTTCAAATAAACAAAGTCTTGGCTTTCAGAATATTAAACTTGTTTCGGCAAATTCAGATGATAAATACAACTTTGAAGCTTGTAACGGCATAATTACAAGCGGAGAACGGAGTAATTTGACGGCACAGCAGGCATAACAACAGCCGGTGTTTCTCGTGAGTGGTTTCACCAGGAAACAAACACAATACACACAAATGCAAAAATACACACACACAAACACACACACGTATACACACACACACACTCGTGAGCTTCCCCCAGACCAGTAATCCAAACAAAAATATCTTCCCTCCGTAGTATTTTGATCATTTGCTCCGCTAATCAATCAGATCGATGGATTCCAGAGATTTTTCTCAAAAATGATGACTCCGAAACAGTCAGTGGGCACCACTTAACAGCCAATCAGAATGAGAATATGTTTCACATGTGACTTATTCAAATTGCGAGTGATTGAGTGACAGATGAAGGTTGTTTAGGAGAAAATGTCGGAGAAGAAAACATTTGAGAGTGATGCTCGGAAAAGGAAATTGTTGAGGAGTCTCGAGACAAGCAGCCATTACAAAAAATGCCGAAGCTTACAGGTTATTTTAAACCTGTAGGCCAGGATGAGGAGGAAGGACAGGTGAGTTCTGTACCGAGCGGCAGCGGTGCCGGCCGCTGGGCCTCGGAGCCAAGTAGGCCATCTGGTTCTGATAGCGATGAAGTAGCGGGAGAGGAAAAACAGACAGGAGGGACATTATCTGTTGGAGGAGATGGAGAGGATGACGAGGGCTCGCTACGTGAAGGGGAGCCAACGGCAACCGGACAAATACATGAGGGAGGCCCGATACGTCCCTCATCTGGAGGAGAGGACCAGGTGCGCGTAGAGCAGAGTGGAGAAGTGCGATCACAGAGCCTGCCGAGGCTATAAATGACTTTGATTTGTTGTTTAAATAGGGGGCCTACAAAACCCAGGGCCTGATGGCAGGTTAAGGCGGGCTTGGGTAAGACCCATCCCTTCCTTGCTGCCAACCAATCAAAAATGACAACATGTGACAGACTGTTACAACTCCAACCAGATATATCATTCATTATGATGAATTGCTCTATTAGAAACTATCATGTCATCCATATCATGCAGCAACCCCACCTGAGCTTCCTGTACTTACCTGCTTCCTGTTTCTGCTGAACAGTCCTTATTGTTCATACTGCGGTACATATCCAATAGTAGATGTTTATTCTGACTACCTGAACCATTCCTGCCTGTTCCCTGGTATCGACCTATGCTTGCTTTTGAATTAAGGTTCACAATATTGTTTGCTTTTACCGTACTCTGATATTAGGGTTTTGAGCCTGTTCTGGGCCGACGGGCATGGATTGACTTTAAGAAAGCAACAGGAAAAATACATATTTAATACATCTTATGGACGATCTTTAGGAAAAGATAAAGGAAAACAAAGGCAGTCCTAGTTCCACGAGACAGAATCACAATTTTACCATCCAATATTTACTGCTCTACTATGCCATATACATTTGTTCAATTTAAATATGTATACTACTGTAGTCCTGCTTTAATGTGGGTGTGTCTTAAACAATAGTCAAATTTAAGAGTGGTAAACATGAATGTATGTATCTCTACAACTCTGAATATGTTCTTGTGCGTGCGCACTTACCGTAAGTTATGTCCACCCTGATTTGGTTTTGAATTTGTTGTAAAAATCTAAGAAAGTACCAGTTTTACATTGTTCATTTATGTACAACTATTGAAATTGGTAAGTTTCTTGGAAATAAAACGGCATCGAGCCAAACCAGATTTTACTTCATGTTTATCCCATAACTTGTCACACCGCCTGTATAAGCAAACAGTATACTAGAGTAGATCCTGAAATGAGCACCCCTACTGAATCAAGAATCAATTGTGAATTAAATTATGACCCCAAAAATCTAAATTGAAATGTGGACCACTGAAAGATTGACATCCTACTGATTAATACTTCACCCGTTAACAGTGGGGTAGGTAAGTTTGAGAAACTGGCTCGAGATACACTTTTTATCATATTCCATGGAATGCTCTTAACATCCCGATAGCAATGAATATCTTAGGTGCTTCAACAAAAAATCCATAAAAAAAATTCTCATCTGTGGAAGCCGTAGTGCTGTAAAAAGCACGAACAATCATCTGAGCCGGCCCGGCTAAAATAACTGGATGGCCTACCTGCCTGTCAGCCTTCCATCTGTGCACACATTTATCTCGTGTCCTCATTGGTCATGTGCACGTTCGTGTGTGTTGGAGGAGGGGCTCTGTAAGGAAGTGGCAGATTTTTTCCGGTTGTGTATTTTCAAATTGTAGCGCACTCGAGCTGGTTTCTCCAAAAGTACCTACCCCACCTTTAAGTAACACAACAAAGAATAAACAACATCTAACTCTCTTAATTGGTCTACACAGAGGTTTAGAAATAAAACAATGGCACTATGACTAGAAATGGATGTGTTGTTCAAGTTCAGAATGACCCCCCCCCCACCCACTTAGAGCTCAATGGACAGTCTCAAATAGATGTGGATGGCGTAGGTGTAACGGTTATTCACAGGCTCGGGGCTCAATTTCAGGCCTCAGGCTCGAATATGACATTCCCAGAACAAATGACTATATATTCACTTCTAAAAGGGGTAAATTAATAATCTTTTTTGTCAAAGCAAGGTTATATCTGTGAGTTGGATGTAGAAAAGTCAGAATCAATATAGAATTTTTTTATTTTAAAGTAAATTCAGATTGAATATGGTAAACATTTTTAAATGAACACGTTACTTATAGTGAAAACCACCCTTGAATGAAGGGAGAGTAGACTAAAAGCTTTAGGAATCCAAACTATAAAATATACTAAGTACCCTGTATCAAGATTAATGCAAAAATAAGTGTCATTTGTCCTTTTTAGAGAGATTTAGAAAAAAAAAACACTTCTGGGGTCAATTGGGTTGCATTTTCCATATCTCTGACCCCCGTCAGTCGATTTTGATGATTGATATCTCTTTTTAACCGTTAGAGCAAATATAATTGAGGGGAAGTTCCTAAAATCCATCTAAACATTACCCATTGGTGAATGAGTGATGCATAGCCAGAGTGCCCCAAACCGGAAGCTGTCATACACTGGTAACTATCATAGCAACTACGGTATATATGAAAACTCCGTTATTGACATAAAAATGGAATGATGGATTATCAGTAATCTTTTCAAAGTGACACAGACACATTGGCTTGGCAAGTGGAAGGTCACCAGTTCAAGTCCCGGAAAGACCATGTGCTACCGAGGTGTCCCTGAGCAAGGCACCATTCCCTACACTGCTCCCCGGGCGCCGTACATAATGGCAGCACACTGCTCCTAACACTAGGATGGCTCAAATGCAGAGAAACCGTTTTTTTACATAGTGCCTGTACTACGTAATGACAATAAGTTGAATCTTCATCTTCAAATTTTTCGGGGTGCAGGATGCCTTGTGTAAAAAAACGTGACAAACTAACTCTTTGGCAAGTACACACAAAGTTGAACTTTCAGTAGTGCAGCCATGACTGTTTTATTGCAATTTTTGATGTTGGCGAATATTTGTGCAGAGAATATATCTTTCCAATTGTTAAACCCAATGGTGAAATTTGTTTAGATTAAGACCAGGTTTAACTATCTAAGTATATTTACTGGAATTAGCATTCTGCTCAACGTTGGATGTTTTTCATTGTGCTACACAAATAATGTTTGAAAACTGATTCTCCATGAGGTGGGGGAAGATGAAATGGATCCTAAAATACATGATGTTGACGGCCAAAATGCCCAACCAACTGAGGACTTTATGGTAAACATGTCCACTACTTTTAGACACTCCATGGCCGAGCCAATTTTAATCCTCTGATCTGTTGGCATAATAGCCATACCACATCCTGTATGTGTGTTTGTTCTGTGCATGTCTCAATGTGCAGGTGTATGGTGGTAGCCTAATACAGATTTGCTTTTCATTAAGGAGTCTGGTACATGGTGTGTATTGTCATCATTCACATGAAGGTGTGCACCAGCTAATCAGACTTAAATCACCAAGCCTGTGCGAGTGTGTGTGCGTGTGTGACAGATTTCATCCATTATACGTCAATTATGAATTAGCACCTCTCTGCCATCTCTCAGCTCTCTCCCTCTCTGTCGACTGCTGTCTTAATTAGCCAAACACAGGGCATCAACTAATTTTTCTCTCACACTCTCTCTCATACACTCACGCACTCACGCACACACAGTAAGGTATACAGATTAATTGAAGCACATGCAAACAAATGCAAGATGTAAATAAACAGAAGCAAATATGCTAACAACACACTCACATGTATGCACACATAAACACACACCGAGTGTAAGCTAGTGGTTTCAAAATGAGTGTGGGGACACATAATGAGACAGTTCGTCACATAGTGTCATCGTGTGATGATCTGTTCTCCAATTTGGCCTGTTTCAAGGGTAATATGAATCAGGCCCCTAACAGGCCCTTAGCACATAGATCTGTCATTTCTCAAATGCAGTGTACTCAAAAGGAAGTGGAGTTGAAACATGGCATTCTAAGCAGAATAAAGGTTTAACCCTTGTATGGTATTCGTTTTCACTATTTAGCTAAAGAAAAATGATATGATAAATTATTTGTGTGTGTGTGTGTGTGTGTGTGTGTGTGTGTGTGTGTGTGTGTGTGTGTGTGTGTGTGTGTGTGTGTGTGTGTGTGGGCGGGTGTGTGTGAGACTTTTGTTTTTCTGCCCCTGTCATTCCCAAACAAGGTTGCAACATTGTTGATAAAGTCAAGCACGGACACCGGTCTGCTCTCACATTCCCGCATTATGTCTTGCGGGAACCAATCTTTATTTTTTTCACACTCTATCCAAGCTGCACATTTGGGGCAAGACACAATGAATAAAGCTTTGCCAGTTTGGGTCCTTATCACAGCTGATCAAGATGGCCAAAAGATTCTCTGCTCAAAGGGCCTTGCAAATGATTCTGGAAGAGAGAGAACCATTTGATGATGATGTAGAGGAAGAGGTTTCAGAATGTGAGGATCACATTTCTGAGAATTCTGAGTCCGACAGTGACTTTGAAGAAGAGGATGAGATCGAGCATCAGCTAGTTACAAAAAAAGACGAGCCACAGGACCAGCCGATCAGCGGGCAAAAGACCAGTAGCATTTTAATTAATTAATGTGATCTAACAAATGTAAAAGGGCAAGTATTAACCATATATGCTGTTTATATTGCTTGTACTTGGGATGAAGTAAACATCTGTTGAGTATTTTAACGTAAAATAGTTTGATTGTGTTGAATTGAAGCCCGAAAAGGCAGCGGGTCCACCAGACCCACGAACACTGGTTGAGTAACAAAGATATGACCACCATACAAGGGTTAACTTGACTGACATATCAAACAGGCCCATTAAAAAACACCGTTTGTGTATAGATGAAGATTGGAATTCCTGTCAGTTGATGAGCCAGAGTTTGAGCTCAAAGGATTGTGATTCCCTCTAGATTAAAGAGCATTATAGCGTTTTTCAGATCATTGTTTTGGCTTTATGGCTCTTAACTGTGTTTGAGTTTGGTTTAGTTTCATAATTCTTGTCAGACTCCTTAACAGGCACTACTGCCCAGCAGCAAACGTCAGGCAGACAAAGGTAGTGACTAGCTTGTGAAAATAATG